GTGCCTGTTCGACCCGGTTTGGGTGGCTCAGTGGCAGCCCTGTTCATGCTGGCCTTTGCCTCACCTTGAGAGTGTGCCACATAAATAATTGGTTACTCCTTCTTACTGGTTTATCTGGCATCCCACAGCTCATCACAACTATGGTTAATTGGCCGTCGTTGGAAGAACCTTGCACGCTGTGCATGCTCTGCTGCACACAGTCAGTGCAGGACAGGTGCAGAAGCTCGGCCATCTGGGCAAGATCGTATAATATTTGTTGCTGTCGTGCGTGTTCAGTTTTCAAGGAGTGCTTCACTAGCTGAGTTCGAGCTGATGAGCTCGGGAGATCGTATGAAGCGATCTGATCACCTGAAAGAAGCAGCGAAAGAATGAAATAATCACATAGCCGTACAATCAGCGATGGACGCACTCCTTGCAGCCAGCGTGGAGGAGGTCGCGCTTGAAGGGCGTGCTGGCTGCAGCCCCTCGACGCTATGGCGCAGGCTATCGGAGCGCATGATGGTTGTGCCGGAAGTAATCAAGCCGCTGGTCTGGCAGCAGCTCAAGGCCATGCACAACCAGATCCAGTTCACAACGGCGGGACTCCTGAGGGACAGGTGCGTATCTAGGGAGTGCACGCGCATGGCAAGGGGCCTGCACAAATGACATATGTAACAGAGCAACATATGTAACAGAAGGGTCTGTGGGTGCCCCCAGCTTCTTGGCATGGTCAGCCTGCACAGCCCCACACATATATACTGCACAGCCGTTGGCGCGGCTTTCACCCACTTCATCATATCAACAACCTATATCAGTACATGTGCGGCTAAGGAAAGGGGCAGCAGTTTGCTTGTTAGCGCTCAACACACTGCCTGATGACACCTTTTGCCTGGCACCCGCGTACAGGGCAGATGGGAAGCGTGCACGCTCGCGCAAGGAGGACCTTGTTATTGAAGAGGGCGATGACCCTGCGGTACGCCAGCTTCTACTCGCGGGCAGATTGCAGATAGGCAATAGGTTTGCTTCGGCCGTTGACCGTGCGGTGCAGCGGGCGTTAGCTGCATGTCTGGGCTTGCGGGCCGGCGAGAATCTTGCTTCTGCGCCACCTGACGTGACGGATGCCTGGAACCATCCCTTAACAGGGAATTGTGTGCATGCCGGACACCGTTCCCCGCATGTTCGTGGACGCAGAGGCTGAGGGGGTGCTCCTGCTGGTGGGTCCCTGTTGTTGTGGTGCTGCCGAACACCTGGCGCCCGCGCGGACGTTTTTTCACAGCAAAATGAGCAGTGATGCATCTCCACCAAACACTGTTGCTCCTCTTTTCTCCTCTGGGCCGCTGGCCACACACGTGATGCACCCTCGAATTCGCCCCGCCTGCTGCGACCCGAAGCTGCACTTCTGCCAACCTCGCATTTGTGGCGCCCTGCAGGCCACCAAGCCCGTGCGCTGGTCAGTGCTGGGCATACACGATGCTCAAGAGGGGACAGCAAAAATCAGTGAGGCAATGGTGTGTACATTCCACGCCCATGGTGGCGCTCGCAGCAGGCGGGCACGGCAGCAGTTGCTGGCAGGAGGGAGGGCAGCTGGTCTGTGCGCACCTGGCCTCCCAAAACATCATCAGCGACACGTGGCATGCGCCCAATGCAGCGCGAGAGCACTGCAGCAACACACGCGCCATCGCTCAACGCCCCCCAACCCCAATGCTTCCCTGCCC